TTGGAAACCCCATACAGGGTTGCTATGAGTCAGAGTCCACTCAACAGCACTTAACAACAACAACATATGTATTTTTTTGACATACATATCTGTAATGTTGCAAATATATCAGTTTATATGACCACTCTATCTTTCTCCTATGGAGCAGCTGATGGATTTAAATCCGATATAGTAGAACATACAGGAAGGAAAATATGAAAACTTGTTAGCCATAAATAAATACCTTGAGGGATTGACTCACTGGGCTTGGGGACTTAGGGTCATAGTCTTGGGGTGGGGGGCAGGGAGGAGAACATCTAGGTCAATTGGGCTAGCCTAGTCCACAAAGACAATGTTCTACATTCTACTTCAGTGAGTAGCAACTGGAGTCTTTAAAGTTCATGAGCAGTCAGCTAAGGTGCAACTAGTGGTCTCTCACCGTCTGTAGCAAAGAAGAGTGAATAAAGTCAAAGACTCAAGGGAAAATTGAATCCAAACGACTGATGTACCATGAGAACTCCAGCCTCCATTATCCTGTGGCCAGAACTAAATGGTGCCGGTTACCACTACCCACTGCTTTTATCTGGAGCACAACCAAGGGTCCTGGACAGAGTGGGAGAAAAATGTGGAACAAAATTCCAAATGAGAAACAAGACCAGACTTGCTGACTTCGTAGAATCCTGGTGTGGTACTGAAGGATCAGCACTGGACCACTAACCAACCACAAGGCTGGTGATTCAGAACCACCAACCATTCCTTAGAAACCCTCTACAGGGTCGCTATGAGTCAGAACTGAGTCAACAGCACTTAACAACAACAACATTGGCTTGATAGGGTCCAGTGGATCCCTGGAAACTGAGGACCTTAGAGACCCTTCATCCCTGGAAGTGAACTCATACCAGGGATCACCTTTAACCAAACAATAGACAGGCCTCTACAGTGAACGATGACATCTCTGAGGGATGTGCGTCTCAGAACAATCCACCACAGAAGACCCAAAGGTCAGCATTTACCCAAAAATCCAGTTCAGAAGACAGGAAGGGCCAGGGGACAAAAGGCCGAATGGAACTGGGGAACCCAGGGAGGAAGTGGGAAGAGCGTGGTTACATTGGGGGAACTGCAAATGTGTCTAAATTGTTGAATGGGAAATTAACGGACTCTGTAAAAGCTCACCCAACCCACAGTAAAATGTCCAAAAAAAGAACATTGTCACTGTGCCAATCCATCTGATTGGGGGGGGGTCTTCCTCTTTTTTCTCAAACCCACCACTTTACCAAACATGATGTCCTTCTCCAGGGACTGGTCCCTCCTGATAATATGTCTAAAATATGAGAGATGAAGTCTCACCATTCTGAATTCTAAGGAACGTTCTGGCTGTATTTTTCTTCCAACACAGATTGGGAAGATCTTAACCGCTGAAAACCCTACAGAGTACACACAGTTCTACTCCGACACAAGTGGGGTCATCATGTAGGAACTGATTGCATGGTGACTGGCAGTAGAAGAAGTTGATTTACCTAGGTCTAGTTCTAGCTCCTGTTTTCTTCGGCTTCTTCTCTGAGAACCTTGACTAACACAGAGGACCTACAGAGAAGATGCTAGGGCAATGGAAGGGAAAGGAGGAATCCAATCCACCTTCCTTTCAATTCAAATGCCCACTTCCCACCCATCTTTTCTTTTCATCTGTCAGTTCTCCAGAAGTCTAGTCAAAGACATCATTCTTTCAATAAAGAACGACTCTCTCCTTTCTTGAGCTAGACCAGTGATCCTCATCTGGAGATAATTTTGCACACACACACACACACACCCTTACTCTGCCCCCAGAGAACACATGACAATGCTTGGAAAACTGGAATCTAGTGGGTAGAAACCATGTGTACCGCCCATCTTACAAAGAGCAAGACAGTCCCCACAGCTGAGAATGATGCAGCCCAAAATGCCACTTGTCCCTTCATCGAAGCACTATTCACAATAGTTAAAAGATAGAAATGACCCAACTGTTCACCCTCAGCTGGATAGATCAATAAAATGTGATATGTACATACAATGGAATATTATCCAGTTATTAAAACTACATGCGACAACATGGACGAACCTTGAAAACATTATGCTATGTGAGCTGCTCTTTGTCAAGTGCCTTTGAGTTGGGTCCAGCTCATAGTGACCCTTTACAGTGTTTCTGAGGCTGCAAATCTTTACAAGGAGTAGATAACCCCCAAGACAAAAAGGTCAAATATTATACAATTCCACCTATACAAAACAAGTGTAGGAAAATTTATGGAGACAGAAAGTAGATGCGAAATTACTGAGACTATGGAGAGGAGAAAGTGGAGAATTATTACACAGGGATTCAGAGTTTCTGCCGTTTAGACAAGCCGTAAGAACCCCATTGCTAGGGTGAGACCCGACTGGTTTGTCAGGTCGCTGTAAAGCTTCCGTCCCAATCCTAGGGATGTGCTCACCTGCACTCTCAGTATAGCAGGTCATGGAGGCTGAGGGGGCCCTCATTCCATCCCACACTGTTGTGACAATAGCTGGATAGGACCGAGCTGGCTGCAGACCCAACAAGGTCACTGTCTCCCCACACATGGAACTGTCCTGGAAGTGCTGCCCACCCACGTCCAAGCTGAAGACTTCATAACCTCCTGAGGGGCAGGACCAGGTCAGGATAACCCCGTAACCATCCGAGGTACTCATGCAGGACATTATGGTGACGGGGTCAGGTGCTGGTTGAAGGAAGTAAAAATAGTCAGTGAGGAGTCATCTAATGTGACCTCCCATCCATCTGTCATGAAAATTCTCTGACAACTACCCATTCTGTCCTCCCCCAAACCAAAATCATTTGTCCTTCCTTCCCCTCAAACTACATCTCCCATGAGGCCTTGAACTCTTTGTGCTAGTGCAGCTTATGAGGTCATTGCCCTATGGCCTGATGGGATTTGTAGTTCATTCACTTCTCATTGCCCTCAAGGTGTGCCTTAAGTCAGCCCAGTCCACTAGGTACAAGTGAGGTCCAGCTCACCTGTGGATGCACGGAGACTCTGTGTGGAACTGGAAACGTTGTTCATCTCTGCCCACACAGTGAAGTTGTACAGAGTCCCAGGTGCTAGGGCCTTCACTACGTACCAAGTCTCATTGGTCTTGCCTGTCTGGTTGATCTTATCTCCTAAGGGATCACTCTTCTTTTGGGGCTGTCCTCCACTGGCCCACTGGATCCAGTATACGTAGAGCTGAGTGTGAGTGTCTGTGGGGGGCTTCCAGTTCAGCCTGACTGAATTCTTGGTCTGAGTTGTGTTCTGCAGATCTATGACTTCGTTGGGAACTGAGAGATGAGGATTGGAGAAATATCATCAATATATCCTCATACTTCAACTAGCCCACCTCCCTCTTCAAACACAACGTGAGATTTCTCAGCCAACCAATGGCTCTGGTTTCTAAGGAGGGTTGTACCACAGAGCAAGAGCCTAGAAACAGAAGGATTGGCGGGACCAGTCTTCTCATTCCTCAGCTCCAAGCCTGAATCGCTTTCATCATCTTTCTCTATCTTACCCCTCCTATGAGCAGTCCTCGTGTGGCGCTGTGGGTTAATGCGCCAGACTGCAAAGCTGTTTGAACTGCAAGGTCAGCAGTTCAAGCTCACCAGCTGCTCCTTGGAAACCCTATACAGGGTTGTTATGGGTCAGAATCGACTCGACAGCACTTCACAACAACAACATGAGCAGTCCTGGTGTGGTGCTGTGGGTTAATGCGTCAGACTGCAAAGTTGTTTGAACTGCGAGGTCAGCAATTCAAGCTCACCAGCTGCTCCTCGGAAACCCTATACAAGGTCGCTATGGGTCGGAATCGACTCGACAGCACTTAACAACTACAATAACAATGTGAGCAGTCAAGGTTGGGACCATTCTCATGTTCAGACACATCAAATTTCAAGATGGAGCTTTTACTTTTATTCTTCTTAGCCCAAATGGCTGAGAGTTAAAAACGTCCAGCTTCCAACCCTCCATATGAACCCATTCAAATTAGGGTGACTTTGGTTCGCCCATGTTGAGGCAGAGACTGGATCCTCTTGATTCATTTAACCCAGCATGACACATTTTTAACTGTTACCCATCTGGTTATTTGCATTCTGGGTATGTCCTTGATCCCAAAGGTTTGATTTCCCATGAACAGAGGAGATGGACCCTTTTGGAAAGCCCTAGCTGATGAGGAGAGACCCTTTATAGAAAATTATCAACAAGCCTGAGACAATCAGGTCAGGACAGGTCCTCCAATTCCTGGGAGAACTGATTATTTCCCAAGAGGCTCCAAGCTCTCCTATTCCGTTTCCTTCCCCCCATCACAATAGTGCTGGGACCATAACTGGACTGAGTCTCACCAGTAGCTTCAATGAGGGTGCTGTTATCACTGCTGACCCCGTTCCTCTGGGTCCACACAGTGAAGGTGTACAGAGTCCCAGCTTTTAGGTCATTCCTTGTAATCCTGGAATCTGAGGTCTGTTGAATTCCTAGATCCATATTCCCCCTCTGCAACTGGACACAGTAGGTGTAGGGTGGTTGAGCTGGGCCCAGAGGTGCTGCCCAGTTCAAGGTGATGGAACTGTTGGTCCGATCCTGAATTTTGAGACTTTCCACTGTATTGGGAACTGGAAGAATGAGCAGAAAATCAGGGTTTCTATATTTCCAAGCATCCAGCACAAAAAGAAAATATCTTGTTCCCTATAGAGTCCTAATTCTAAAGAGAAACATGATCATCCTATCCTGCACCCTGAGATGTGTCACTGACTTTGGTTCTGACAGAGGAGCAGAAAGTTAGGGTTTCCACATCCCCCAATTCCCAAGCATCTAGCTCAAAAAGAAGTTCTCCATACAGTCTTGATTTGCTCTTAGCAATGGGACCTAAACCACTACAATTCAGTGGGGCAGAGATGCCTGAGCTTTGTCTATGTTCCAGGGACAATCTCAAGGTTCCAATGACATCCCTTTATCCCCTCAGAAGTGCTTGGTAAAAGACTTCAAGAAGTCTTACCTGTAGATTCATTAATCGTCTTATTGGTACCATTGACACCATTCCTCTCTGCCCAGACAGTGAATGTGAACAGAGTCCCAGCCTCCAAATCATTCACTGTGATCCTAGGGTCTGTGGTGTTTTGAGTTACTTGCATGAAGTCTCTGTTCAACCA